CTGTTGCCCTAGGTTATTAAGATGTATTGAAACACATTACTGATGTTGGCACAGCTGAGCAAGAGAGACACTTCTTTCCATTCAGAGCATTAGGAATTGCAAATCAGTATTTGTCATTCCAAAAATGCTCTAACTTCTTGTTGGAATGACAGATATGATTGATTTGTAATGTACAGGTAGTCCTCATTTACCAACTGTAATTGGGACTGGGAACTCCGTTGCCAAGTGACGCAGTTGTAAGGTGCAATGTCACGTGACCCCCACCGACTTTTGACTGCAGGTTCAGCAGTCCCACTTGCTGCTGTTAGGCGAATCTTGAGCAAGGACTACCTGTTTGGACTAGGACATGTTTAAGTTCATCCCCAGCCATGGAAGTTCACCGGGTGACATTTTGGGCCAATCCCTCCCTCTTAGCAGATCCTACCTCCCAGGACTGTTGGGGGAAAAATGAAGGGAATGTGATATAGGCCACCATGAGCTCCTGGACGAACGGGAGTACATAATTCCAATTAATGAACAAACATGAATAAATCTGTTTTGGCATCTTCTCTTTCAGTTTGTGCACATGAATGACACTGTACTGAATTTCGTACCCATTGTTCATCTCTCCTTGTTTCATAGGCGTATAAACTCTTCTGAGAAAAGACTCTGCACAAACAATTTCGTAGCTGACTTTGGACAGCCACTGGATTCTGAACGGATCTTTTCTCAGCAGCTGTTTCTCCATTGCTACATCAACGAACCTGAGAACATGGATAGGACCAAGCAGTGTCACAAAGTGCCAGTTATGGACAGTAGCATCCACTTCCAAGAAGTAACTGAGAATGGTGGGCGACTAGAAGAGGAGCTGAACTGCCATACAAAATTCAACATTCCCAACTTTGTGAACTCTGATTCCCTGGGTGAAGATGAGTTGTTAATTTCTGAGCCATCTATCATTTTGGAGAACAAACCAGTGAGTCAAGTCTCTTGCCAGATTCTCGACTAAAGAAACTTGAGCAAGATGTCTAAGCTTGCAGCTAGTAGCATTGCTTTCTTTGGATACACATAAACAAAAAATTACTTTTCTTCTTGCATTCCCATCCTATCTTGCCTTTATGGGCTTCAGGACTTTGGCTGATTAAACATGCTTTAGTGCATGACGTGAGATTGCTTTGGAATGAATTTCCAGTGGTTCTCACATTATTTATATATTTTTGTTCTTTAGAAAGAACAGGTTTGAAGTTGCAACTCTCTGTTTAGCTCTATACAAACCAAAGCTGTCTATCAACTGCTATAGTCTTTACATTCCACAGTTCTCTTAGAACAGATGTGCTGAATTTAAGCAGGCTAACACCACAGTAGGAAAAATCGAATGTAGAAATTGGGTGTAGCCATGTTCTGAAGTAAATGACCTCGCCATTACTAATTTAAGCCCCATGGAAAGGGCTTGCATCCGCTCTTTTGCACTGGTGCAGGTAATGTTGCAGCAAAGTAGCATTTACTGCTACAGTACTGTGATGTGGTGCGGCCAAAATTTTTTATGAAATCCAGTTTTCAGTGTCTTAGGGTTATGTCCTACATCATGGGAATAGATGGATGTCTGTTACTGTGCTTAGCAATCATCATACTGTACCAGATATTCCCAACGAAAGAGTTGAACTGAGAGCAATAAAACAAAGATTGTACTGATTCTGGAATACAGCGTTTGCCTTTTTTTTTTTAAGAAAAAAAGAACAAGAAACCCTTCTAGATGCCTAATTATAATTTACAGCATACATAACCTCTTCCATACGTCTGGTGGCTTCAAACATACTTGATTCTTAGTTATTTTTTTAAGACTACACAAGCCAAGTAGTGGCTTAGCTTAAAGTGGGCTTTGAGTTGCACTCCATTTAACAGTTCCTAAAATACCCAGAGTGCCTCTGCTCATCTCTACTAACTACGTTTAGGCAGTGCTTCAGTTACCCCGTGCCCCCCAGCTTATCCCCGGCAGTGCGGTTCCATTCTACCAAGGTAATGTCTCTCCTCTGACTGGTTGCTCTATGGGGTTGTCAGCCAACTCCTTCCTCTCTGTCACTGGTTGCCATTTTGGGGATTCTGCAGTGGAGAGGAAAATGCCCATATGAAGCCTGAACCCCACTGTTTTGTGAGGCAGTTCTCATTACATGGGTTTCTTCAACATTGCTGATAAGCAGCACCGTGAAGCATTGGTTCTTTCTTTCACTGCACTGGCAGACCGGTGAAATGTTGGCTTTTTAAACTATTCACTGGTAGACCAATGAAACAGTGGTTGTTTGCTTCCTTCTCCATCCCCTCCCAGTTGGGAGCAGGGGAGGCTCATGGCTTGAAGAGGGCTGGCATTCAAATGCCTGAATCATCATTAGCACAACACTTGAGAAACTTCTATTACTGCCTGCTCCTGCCAGAGCTCCATTGGTGAAAATAACTGCTAGAGATATACAATGACCTAAAAGCAAGGAAATAAAAGCAAGGGTAGGAGGGCAGGGTGTGGGTGTGTACAAGCTGTTGTGGAAAAGTACAGCAAGGAAGCAAACAAATCCCAAACATATTCCTGACAATTGAAAAGAAGAGGGAGAACCCCCCCCCCCAAGTACAGATAGATCTTGGACTTCTAGATTAAAATCCAGTAATGTTTTTGGCTTGTTGACACTCTTTTAATGGGTCTTCCTAACCAAATGCTGGTGGAAGAGATCTCTTTGGAACTCAAGGGCTGGATGAAATCCCTTCTGGCTTAAGTGACAATAATGGTGAAACGAGGGTGCCCCCCCTCACCCTATCACTCCATTAAAGGGCCAGTGAATAGCTTGTGAGCAAGAAACTTCTGCACTGAGAAGGAATTTGGACTAGATGATCTTGAAGGACCCTCTCAACTATGATTCTGTGACTGCTGGGTGTTGTTTACTCATGCAGATGGAAACCATGGGTGTTCAAAGACCCATCCATGAAAAAGAAAGTGATTGGTGCTTGCTTTTTGAGCATTGGAGGTAAAGCAGCAAGGGTTCCAAGATTGGGGCCAAGGCAACAGCTGTCTGGACAGAAGACCTCACTGGCATTGTTGCCAAAGCTTGATATCCAGACAGTGCTTGCTTCATGTCCAATTGCTATCAATCCAGGGGAAAAGGAGCAAAATGCTGCAATGTGGAATTGCCCTAAGGCTACAAGCTGGTGGAAGTCAATGGCACTGCCTCAGAAATGTGGCACTTGCTTTGAGTAAATAATATGCCGAGGAACTCTGATCAATAATTAAAGATGTCACATTTAGTTATTACAAAAAGAACGTTGCTAGACCAGAAAGATGGTGGTCACACTTGGCTCTCATCATCAAACAGGTCTGAATGCCAGAACATTTTGGGGAGATACAATACAATGCGCATTGGAAGGGCATGTTCTCCTTTGCAGATTACTTCACATTCACTCTTTGATTATGTGCCATTGAGTAGTTTTCGACCCCTAGCAACCACATGGATAGACTTTCCCCAAGATGATCTATTCCTAACCTAATTTGAAAGTTCTTTCAAATCTCCCAATGGTGCACTCATCGCCACTGTAACTGAATCCATTGACAAACCTCTTTCAGCCACTGGAGGTGCTCTGTGGACTACACTCTTTGTCACCGTGTGCAGCAGTTTCTAAGTCCGGAAAGCCTTTGGGCTTAACTTCCTGCTTAACATTAAGGTGGAGTTGACTGCTGCTGTGCAACAGCTGGATGAGTTTTGTTTATCTACACCATCTGGCCATGCTTCAGCCCTCATACCATTCCTTTCTCATTCAATGGAAATGCTGCTTGCCATTAGCATCACCTAGAAGCTCTTCTGTGAATCTCTCCCCTTCCCTTATTTTGTTCTGTCTCTCTTGCCAATGGGCCAGAAAAGAGAATTCCTTTTTCCTAAAGATAGTTGCCATGTCCTCCCTGAAGGCTTCTGGCTCTCTCTTTCCTTCTCCTCTTTCTTTTCCTCCTCCATTGGAACCAACAGGAGCGGGTTGCTCTTCTCTAGGAGGGAGAGCCAGGATTGAGGGGTGGGGCTTCCTTCAAAGGAACATGAAGGAATTCCAGGCTCAGCCCTGCTTTCTCACTTGAAGAAAAGCCAACTGGCAGCTGAGACTGACAACACAGTCATTAAAGTAAGGAGACAGCTATGAAATATCAGCACATGGAGGTACCATAATCAAAGTGGGAAAGAACCGTGAAGGGAAAATTAGTCTGCCAGGAGAGCAGGTACAAAGAAAGTTGATGTTTTGTTATTGAACAACATAGCCAATACAGCAATTTTCAAATATTTTCTAAAATCCAAATAAGATTCTAGAGTATTTTATGAATAATTCTTATGCTCACTATTCTTTGCTCAATAAAGCAATAAACAGTATCTTTATATGACACTTCGATGTTAGCAATATTCAAACTGCTTATCCCTATTCAGTAGAATTTATTTGATTGCAACAATTGTTTCTACCTTGAAGGAGCTATAATAAAAGTTATGTAGTTTTATATAATCAGTCTTTTGACCATAAAGTTCTGCGTCATGCAATGAAAAAGGGAATAGAATATTCTATTCTTCCCCCACATCCAGTCAGGATGCCATCATTAAGTGGCTTATGCTCTAATTGGGGATCAGGTTAGGCTACAACCAGCTTTGATATCGGACATTTAGCACCACTTCATGGGACAAGAATCCAATAAGAGGTTACAAAACTGAGTAGTTTTGTTTTACTAAGTATTTTCGCACATAAAAATTATGCCTCATGGATTTTACTGCAATAGTTGGAAATAACTATCCTTTTTGCTGATTAAAATAAAAAAGCAAGACTTGTGAAAACAACTATTATGTTCTGTCCCCATGGTTACCAGTGCCTCATCATCTCCAACTGCTGAACAAACCTGCCTGTATCATCCAAGCTTCCCACCGAACTTGTAAGGTTAAAAAATTGGCAATGTTTGCAAAAATCTTCTATACACATGTACTAAATTGTCTAGTAAAATGTCTTTATTTTAAAATATGAATTTTTAAAAGATAAAAAATCAGGTTCATATTCTAGATTTAATTCCATTTATACAGCAGAAATCTGGACATAGTCAAAAACACTAACCAGTGACCTTTACAGAATTTCAGGTTATTTCTATTTTTATTTGAGCTTTCAGTCTCTGATTGACTCAGATGTTCAAATCTTCCAATAGTTTTCTGGCATATTTGAGCTACCTGTTGATATAACAACACCTTGTTTCTGCAACTGCCGTAGAACATCTAACATTGAATCTAGTTCAATGCGAAATTTCTCCAGTTCTTGGTTCTTCAACAGAGCAAGTTTCTTCCATTTCTCAGTTTCCTGAATCTGTTCAACTTCTGCATTATATCGCGTTTGTTGTATTACCTGCACAGCATGAGAATTTTTTTATTTCAAAACACATGCTCACCAATATTTCCAAGTCTATTTTATTATCAGAGCATTTACAGAAATAACATTAAAAGTTTATTTTAAAAAATTCCTGCACTGAGGGAGATGCCTCAGATACACTTGCAGTACTAGTCCACAGGACTTAAGGTAACCTCTTAGATTATGATATACCTATGCCTCTCTACAGGAAACTTCCTGTGGCTTGTAATAAGTTCAGTTTGTGGGTACTGAAGGGTATTATCCACCAATATCTTTTAAAAGTGAGAAATGTGGGATGGCCCCTGATTCTAGAAGAATGGTGAACTGCAACATGTGAAATGGCCTTGAGAAGCAATTCTGATGTAGGCTTCTTCCTGTAAAAATTCTATGAAATACAATCTCTGAATTGATTAAAAGCCCTTAATTCTAACTTGTGAAGAGAACTTACTACAATTGGAGGGGGAAAAAAGTATATTGACAAATTTGTGACAGTTTCCACAATTCACTTATCTTTTTTTTTAAAGACAGCTCCAGGAGCTGGAACCGACAGAAGACTGTTGTTCTCTAGAAGGCAGAGCCAGCACTGGCGGGGTGCAAAGGGGGTGGGGGGGAGGCTTTCTTTCCTGGTTTCTGACTTCTCACCTGGAAAGGTGTTAATCCTTTCCTGTCCAGACCCTCACTCTAGTGACTGAGAAGGAGGTAGGATAGAATTAAGAAAAAACCTTTTGGAAGCTTCAGCCTACCCTACTGGAAAGGAAGATGCTGAATTGCAGGAGCTTGGCAACAATTCGGTCATTTGCTCTTTCTGTTTCAGAATCCATTGCTGCAGGCAATCCATAACTGAATATTTTAACACTGATATTAAATCACAGAGTCAGAAGGGACTTGCAATTTGATCTGATCGCTTTTTACCATGTGGAAGTAGACTATGCAGACATTGAAGAAAAATGTAACGAGACCAGTCTTTCTTTATGTTCCATGGGAGTACTCTAATGTGATAACAATAAACTTCAATATAACAGGAATTTCCCTTGATTTTTCGCCCAAGGCTGCCTTGGAGGTTCCCCAAACTCTCCAAAGAGGTTATCTGGGAGGTTATCTAGGAGATGAAGAATGGAAGTGCATTGATGGAAGGAATTCTACCACTAAGAGGAGTTAATTGGATATAACCTTAAACTCGTAATTTTTATTATGATTTTTCAATGTAAAAATTAATGATATCTGCATGCTTTCACAACAGGTTAGAATCTTAAAGACAGAAAATATTTACTGTGATTCTGAAAAGCCTATAAAAATTCAAAATATTTACGTTTTAAGACTTCTTTATTTACTTACCTGCTGAAGTTCTTGCTCTCTCTGTTCATAACTGGTTTCCAATTGTTTTATTTTTCGTTCCAGACATGAAAAGTGTTTCATCTCAGGACTCTGACGCTCTCTAGCTTCTTTGAGTTCTTCCAACAACTTTGCCATCTGAAACAGCAATTTATGAAATGATCCAGCATTTGATTAAGCAGTATTAATTTGAATATTTAACTTCTGCAAACATGCATCAAACATATAAAAGCATGATTCTATTTCTCACACAGTAAAAGGTGCAACATTTATAGTTTTTTGTGTGTTCTATGCATCATTGGGTGTTACTATACTTACCCAAGATATATACAGGTAATTCTCACTTAATGATGGTAATTGAGACCAGCAACTCCATCGCTAAGTGACGTGGTTGTAAAGCAAGATGTCACATGACCGCGCACTTACAATGGCAGTTGTGACAATTCCAGTTGCCATTGTTAGGCGAACCCCATGTGGTCAAAGTGTCCTGCGGTCATGTGATTGCCATTTGCAACCTCCTGCCAGCTTCCCCATTGACTTTGCTTGTTGGAAACTGGCAGTGAAGTTGCAAATGGCGATCATGTAACCGCGGGATGCTGTGACATTGTAATTGAGACCTTGTTGCCAAGTGCCTGAATCGTGATCACATGACTGTGGGGATGCTATGATGGCCACAACTATGAGGACCTGTCATAATTCCCTCTTGTTCAGTGCTGTCATGACTTCAAACGGTCATTGAACAAGTGATAGTTCAATAAGGACTACCTGTATTTTTGGCAAGAATTTAGTTTCTCAACAAAAATTCATAATGCATATTATTTCTATTTATATATGAATCTTACAGTGTTTGCACTGTCTTTAAAGAACTTAAAAGTATATATTATAATTATAATTATTAAACATTTTCTACAGTTCTAAGATGTATCTGCACATTCACATATAAGTACTGTAATTCTATAGATGCATATTCAGAAGTAAGTCTCACTGCTTTCAATAGGGCTTGCTGTCAGTTAAATATGTATGGGATTGCAGCTTAAATCTGATGGTACAACATTCCTGGGATTAACATGGGCTAAGATACATAATTCCTAAGGATCATTCCAGACAACATGGGGCAGGCTGAATGTTTGAGAACTTCTCTCTCATCTCTGTAAACAATGCATACAGAAAAAAAACCCTTCATTCCCAATACAGCTTTCTGTGCTGCGTTCAGGTTTTTGTTTTTTGTTTTTAAAAAGAAGAATCAATCATGTATTTCCTACATGTGACTAAAGTGGTACTTTCCTAGGAATTATACTGTAAGCTACCAATGTACTATGAGTCTTGATTACTGCTCATCATGAAATGTTTTAAAAGTATTTTTTTTAAATAAGAAATTCTTAACAAGAGCAATATCACAGAAATTGTATCCTCTTCTTTTCAAGAAATTATCTTTCAAATCTAGTTATTTTCAAAATGAAAAGTTATTATCTAGCTATCACCTATCTATCTTTCATCTGATGTTACTGGCATTCACTGAAGATGACTAATAAGCAACCTGCACTCCAGTCTGAGTTATTTCAACATAACAGTTTGGTGACCTTCTTTCACATGAAATGGGAGATTCTGGTTTAAAGTTATTCTGGCACAAATGCTGAAGCTGGCATACAAGGTAAGAACAGGTGGGTAAAGGTCAGAGTGTAGGCATCATAATCATGATAAAATACAATTATGACCTGCTGTATAAAATGCACCAATTCACAAAGTGTTTTTAGAATCAAAGTGCTGTAATAATTTTAAAACACTTTAGATTTCAATTTACCTCCTTCTGAAGAATGGCCTCCCTCCTTTGTGAAACTGCAAGGGCTCCCTCCTCCTTTTGCAGCTCATGAACTTGCTGCTGAAGGTAATTAATAAGGATCTACAGGAAGACATAAATATTCTCAATAGATTATTTTAAGTTTCCTACATGACATATTTCTTAAATCTTATCATAAAGATATGTAGATGTGTGGCTCTTCCACTTTAGTAAGCAGAATTTGCATTGATTAGCACTGAACAAAAGAGAATTGTATTGCCTTAGCTGTTCTAATTAAAAAGCATATAACATACAAAAAATTGTTTCAATTGCATATTCCTTTTTTAATATAAATTTTATTGAAAAAATCTTAAACAAGATAAAAACAATACAAATATTAGAAAAGAAGCAAAGAAAATAAGAATAGTGAACAAGAAAGAAAACAGGAAAAAAGAAATAGAAAAGAAAAAGAAATAAAGGATTATAAAGAAGTGGCTTCTGATCTTTTTGACAGCAGTTACAAATGCATTTATATTGATCCTCTCTCTCTAAGGTTACATTGTAATTTCCTTCTTTCCATAAACTACCCTTTCTAATCCTCAAACCCATAAATCATAAGTTCATTTTTCTGTTTTTTCAGCAAAGAATCCATAAGGGGTTTCCAGTCACTGATAAATGTAGTTATTGATCTTTCTCTACTCAAACAAGTTAATTTTGCCATCTCTGCAAGTTTTGTCATCTTCACCAACCATTTCTCCACTGTGGGCATTTCAGAGTCTTTCCATTTCAGTGCATATAATAGTCTTGCAGCAGTAATCATATATAAAAATAATCTTCCACAGCTCTTTTCTAATTGACTGTCCATTAATCCCAGCAAGAAAAATTCTGGTTTCAGTTGAATGTTGATCTTTAAAATTCTTTGTATGATTATATTTACAAAGTCCACCAGGCATGATAAAATAACAAGCTTGTCAGTCAAAAAGAAGTACTCTTTTTGTTTGCGCAGTATTCTAATCAGAATTTCTTTAAGTACAATCACATTTGCATTATTAATCTTCAGTCTAGTAGTGAAATGCTGCTGCAAAATTTGATCTCTGGTTTTCTTTCTGACAAAGTGCACAAGAAGATCCCTTGGTCTATTTCTTAGTTTTGCCAATCACATGTTGATTCTATAGACTTTGTCAATTTCTGCCTCTATGTCATCTGCATCCCATTCCAAAAAAATTGTTAGAGATTGTACAATCTTTTCTCTAGTGTCTTCTCCAGGATTTCCACTTTGTCATTAATTTAACTTCTCCCATAAAATGCCCTACAGATTCTTCAATTTTTTTGTAACTTCTTTCATCTCCTCTATCATCTATATGAACCTTTCTTCCATTGTCCCTTCCTTCAAAAGCAACCAGCCACGTTTTGAGAGATTTGAGAGATTCAGATACCTGCTTTCCCATTTCTTCAAACATTTTTTATATTTCTGAAAAATAATTCCTTTTTCTGTTGGTTGCTCTAATGAACCTCTCTTTCCCTCACCATGCCCACTGCAGCTTTTCTAGTGGTCACCATTTTTTAATTTATAATCCAAAAGTAAAAGTAAATCAATAACAAAAATGAAGATAAAAATCAGGCTTCTCTTTTTTTTCCTCTTTCATTTTCTGTATACCCTTAAGGCTTTAGTCCAATCTGTCTTTCTGTAGTTTAGATGACACAATCCATCCAATTTTTTTCTCCTTATTTTGTAACTTTCATCAATAATCTTTTCTGTTTGTTGTCAAACAATCAACGTTCCCTGGAAAGTCTAGTCTGTTTATTTAATTAATTCCAAATAATGCCAAAAGCACTTTTGCCAAAATATTTATCTTTCAGATTTATACTGTCCCCTTTATCTGTTTATGACTTTCTTAGTCAAAATCTTGATTAAGCTCATTGCTGTTGTTTTAAAGTCTTTTAAACATATCATTTCCTCTTTGTTCTTTCTATAATTCGGAAAGAAGTCTAACTCACCCAGAGGCTGTTTTCTTTGTCCCGCTGTTTTCAAATATCTCTTTTCAACTATAAATTGACTGTATCCAAAAGTGATTAAGAAAGTGAAGGTCTGTCCTTTAAAAGGCTGCGCTTGCATGTGTGAGCAAGCTCTTTCTCCCTTGACTCCCTGCCACTCTACTCATGAGAAAACTACAAGACTTCCATCCTGCAGCCGGTTCATGGGAAGCAGCACTCCAGGGTGCAGGTGGGCGATCTCTTGGTCTCTCCTTTATCCAGAAAGACTTTGGTGGCCAGAAATCACTGCTGGCTGCCATTCTGGAGACACTTAGTCTTCCACAGAACCTCACCCAGAAGCCTCAACTGCATATTTCAATAACTTTCTATTTTTTGTACTGGATTTTTCTGTGGAGTTCCTTATTATTCTAACCCCACAGCAACCAGAGAATGTTATTGATATAATTTAGGCTGGAAACAGTTATGTCCTTCATGCACTTTTTAATGTTTTTAAAATGATATTGACACCTGCTCATGACATCATGTCATTCCTTGGTCTTTAAAGCTGTAGTAAGTTGAGGTCCAGAACACAAAAGGTGTTGAACAGTTCTCTCACCTAGGAGTTTTCTCCTATAGTTTCCCACCTTTGAACCCGGGCTAGGGTAAAAGCAGATCACAGGGTTGAGGGGTATAGGAAAGCTTCCTGCCAGGGAAAATGGTAGCATCAAGCACTCTTCCCAGGCATTCAGCCCTGAAGGTTATGAAGAGGAAAGATTCTTTGCAACCTAAGGGGAGGACCAGAACCTAAATTTCCCACTTCCAACATATTCTTATTACAACAGTAAATCCCAGGTAAGTAAGACATGTATTCTTTCAAAAAACACTGCTTTTGCTTTGGATGGAATTCCAATACAGGTAGTCCACAAGTTATGACAGTCATTGGGACTGGAATTTCCATCACTAAGCAATGCAGTCATAAAATACGTCATGTGATTGCATCACTTACTAACACCAATCCCAGCACTCCCTGTTGCCGCTGTTAACTGAATCCCACCATTTTGTGTCCTGGCTTCAACGAAGAGAGAGAACGCCCATACAAATTGGCAGGCAAAGTTAGGCATGAAGCAAGCGCTTGGGGGCAAGACTTGTAATAATGTCAGGAAAGCTTGTCTGGAGAGATGGCAGCAGATGAGCATGGGGAGGCAACAGAAGAGAAGTTGGGGAAGGAGGAGAAAGAGCATGCCTGTGCATGCCAGCTTACTAGAGGCTTAAGGAGAAGGCATAATCCGAGTCAGACAGTCCATAGTCAAATACCACACAATAGCTTGAAAAGTACCAAGGAATGACCCAGAGACTTGGTCAGGAACAGACCGAAGTCAAAACAAGGCAGGAGTCAAGAGCGTGAATTCACGAAGCGCAAAACCAGATGCCAAAATTGTTTCCAGCAACAGAAGGCAGTCCCTGAGCAGTTTAAATCCTCTTCCTGGTAAGCATGCACAGCTGAGGCTTTTCCTGCTATTGGAGCACAGCGCGGCAGAGTCAGCAGAGCGCAGGGCAGCTAGGGAGCCTGGGGCTTTGCGCTGTGGTGGCTGGCCGTGGTGTGGTGCTTGAGACCACACTCATTAGCAACAGCACTAGGGCTGAATAGAGGCCTAGGGACAGTGGTGGCTGGCTGAGACTGCTGAAGGCCCTGGGCCTCTACTTCAGCCCCAACGCCACTGCTGCTGAGGAGTGCTGCTGTGCGGGACACCCAAAAGGGCAGAGATGGGGGACAGATAGGCAGGTGGTGGAGTTGTTGTGGTGGTAAGTGTAGGTGGGCTGCCAAGCGCCCAAATTTTGATCATGTGACCACAGGGGTGCTGCAATGGCCATAACTTCAGGGACCAGGTGTAAGTACCATTCATTCAGTGCTGCCATAACTTTGAACAGTTGCTGAACAAATGGCTGTAACTCGAGGACTACCTGTAGTGAGAATGGAGAACAGTTACTTACAATTTATCATCATGTATCCCCAGAACTTCTCCTTCTAAATTACTATTTGTAACATAAAGGTGTATTTTTGTGTATATGAACAATGAATGAGGAAGTTCTTATGCACAACAAGCTGATTTATTTGGGGGAAGGAGGCTATTTCAAGTGGATGGAGTCCACAGAAAAGACCTTTGGGCAGTTCACATTCTTTGGCTTTGATAAGAGACTTTGTGGGGAGACTGCTGCTTTGCAAATTGCAAAGATGGCTTTATAGAGAATAAAATAATTGGTGTATCAGGAAAATCTGGGCCATACAGGAGGTATCAGAAGTGTGTCCTCAAGGAAAGCCAGATCAATCCTGAATGGTTTATACTCATAGCAGTTCCATGAGCTCAGGCAGGCATTTTCTCCCGTCCTTTTCTCTGAGTTTTATAAACTAGAGATATTGGGAAATTGGGGAAGGACATTTGGAAAACATGTGCCCTATCACTAAGTTAAAAACCCTCTCTGTATTTATGGCCATCATCTTAGAGAAGAATAGAAGATACATTGTGAACAATGTTCTGGATAAGAGGAGAAAGGCTGTCAGGATCTTAGTATGACTGTAAGATGACATACTTCTACTTTTTCTTTTATCAGCTTACTCATTTGAACCTTTCTCCTAGTTCTCCCGTCAAAGACCCATTAAATTCAGAGTACTATATAATACAGTGGTTTCCATGCCAGCTCATGGGATGGTAAAAAGTACTTGCTGCAATGGCAAATATGTGGCCTTTATGATAATGTTGATGCTTGTGTGTGCCTGTTTTTGTGTCTATGTGTAGGGGTCTTTCTCTCTCTCTCTCTCCAACTTTACCTCTTGAGCTGAAATCTTGCTGTTCAGTTCTGCTGCTTTGGAAGTAGAATATTCCATTGCTTGCTGACAAAGAACCTTCTCCAGCTCCTTCTGGTGTGATACTTTAAGAGCAGCAATATGTTCTTGTAACTCTTCTTTTGCCCTATAAGCACAGTGAAAAAGAAACACACTGCGGTGGTAGTAAGCTGCATATACCCAACTCTTCCCAGGCAATATGAATGTTATTGGCTTGTATCTACTATATTTTTCAAATGGTCCTGCAGCTATAAACTCAACCATAGTTTTTCTCCCCATTGTTCTTTACACCACTCTTATAAATGAGGGGTAAGAAATGGGAAGGAGAAAAAGATGTCCATTTTAGGACCAAACTGAAGTTGACAATATTTAAATCTTTAGCCCTGAAGACAAACTTATTTTAAAATAATAAAACAAGCATAAGCGTCATCATCAACATCAGTGGAGAAAGGACCAAGTCAGCGCCAAGAAAGAAATGAATTGTGCCATTTCTGTGAATTGCAATTTAAATAAATAAGCATTATTTTGCAATATGCATTGACAAAATGAAATAGTTTGTACACTAAACAAACATCTTAGGCAAAATTATGCATAGTATGGAAAAACAATATATGATTTCTATTCCAACTAAACAGAATCCTTTAAAAGAGTTCTGTGTAACACTGGCTGACAACAAAATGCTTGTTTAATTTTTTTTCAAGCATCTTTTAAAAAAAAAATCTGTGTAAGTTTGTCCTAGTGGTCCAATTGGCTGCAAGTTGTACATGTTAAACTCCATAAATTTATTTAAGGCTAGAATGTAAACAATACTATAGGACTGTAATTTAGACTATATTTGTAACTCACAGCATTGCATGAAAATTAATGGGAAAAATTTAACTGATGCCAATGGAAGCTTTACTTAAAACTTTGGTCTAGTCTGGCCCTGCCAGCTGTGTGAGGGGAGCTGCTTCTTACAGAGACTGCCAGCTTTCAGGAATGCACACATGAGAAGGTAGGAAGCTTCAGATCAGTAATCATCACTACTCTACAGGAAGGAGTGACACTTGGCGATAGCATGTTAAGAACTGTAGACAATCAAAAGATTACCGTCTCGTAAGATCTTCAGAATTTGCCAGAGCTACTTGAGATGTTATCCTTTCCTGGCTTAGTTCGAGTCTCAACTTTTCTAATTCTTCTTTCAGGTGGGCATTTTCTTGTTGGACTTCTGAAATGTGAGCATCAGCAAAGGCATCAGGCTGGTATATTTTATCTTTGAGATTATCAGGAAAAAAACCTTGATTCCTGGGGTCCTTTTTCTCAGGACTCACATAACCTTTTTCCAGCATTCCTGAAGATGTTCCTTTTTTATCCACTCTTCTTGTTGAATTTGTATTGGAGAGCATAATCCTCCTCTCTTTTTGAAGCCTTTCAACAGTTTTGGTGAGGTCTTGTATCTCCCGGTTTTTGGCAATCATTTCCTGATTGAGCCGGACCAACCGAGCTTTTGCATGAGCCTGCTCCACCTGATATTCTAGTGATTGCAGATCTGTATCATCCTCTCGTGGATTCATCTGAGATTCTAGCTGAGCTATGTGGCGTCGAAGGGAATTGATTTCAGCCTGAAGATTCTGAATAGTCTCTTGGTGGGCTTCATTGACTCTGCACAGTTCCTGATCAAGGCTGGATGATTTGTCTTGAAGCTTCTGAGGCTCATTCAGCAGCTTATATGCCAACAGTTGTTCAAGCTCCCCAATTCTTTTCTCATATTGAAGCTGTAAAGACAGATTGCAGGAAGTAAAGCGTCACTTTTTATTTGCATCCTAAATATCTTACAGTATTTTAATATTATATATAAAAGTGATGTAAGGTGGTAGAAATGTTTAAAAATAAACAATATTTAATAACCTTAAGTATACCAATAAATTAAAGAACTTTCATTTTACTACACAGATTTCTTTTCATCTTTTCATTTTCTCTTTTCATCTGAAAATGGACTGAAGGGTTTTGAGTACTCCTACCAGCAATGGTGGAATAACTGCAGCAGGCCTACATCATTCCTAAGTTTGCACAGTACACTTGGCAAGGCAGGAAACAGGGATGAGGACACTTGATTTTCTCCCCCTCTATTACCTTCAATAGAAGGGAATGACTACAGTCCTTCAGCTGGTATATATCTTCTGGGGACTTTGAGAAGAACAGCAGGGCCTCAACTGTTCCAAATGTGCTCCTGAATCATCCTTGCCAGAAAAACAGCCATGGTTCCTATCACTCTCTGGGCTGGATCTCAAAGGAGAGTGGGGGCACGTTAGTTAATGACTCCATAATGCTCTCCCAGGGAGCTTACCCTAAGCAATCACAGGGCGGATCTAGGCTGAAATATCCAACTATGTCACTTTGCATATCAAGCTGAGAAGTGTATTATCTGCCAAGATAACGTTCTATCAGCTTTCCTAGATGCAAGCCATCAGACCATTCTTCCTTAGGAGTGCCAACAGCATGAACAGAATTTCAGTGAAGTATGTATTTGGTAGGCCACATTATTTTTCTCGTTCACCTGACAACTCTCATTTCAGAAAAGGAAGGTTTAAAAAAAGTCATTGATACCAATACACCAATAGTGAAAATACTTTAAAAATGCAGCTTGCTGAGCAGCATAAATAATCCAAGTACGAACACTTGCACAATTACAGCTTCTTTTCTATGAAAATTAAATTCTACTTGGGATGGTGCTTCAGTGATGAAGTAGGCTCATTTACGTGCATGCTTGGGCATTAAATATATGTAAAGTGAAACACCTATATAGGATTTTGTGAAATTGCACCAGGGAGATTAAGGAAAATCTGATAATGTTGAACAGCATGACAAACAAGAGGAAATTTTGTAGAGACTCTGGAAAGCAATAACCTAGGTAATAGTTTCCCAGCATTACCTTCTGGACATGGCCTGATAAGAAGGACTGGTACCATTGTAAAACAAGGCACAATCCTGCCAGACAATTCAGAAGGATACTATCATTTATTTATTTATTATTTGACTTGGCATACTTGGAAAGAGTCCAAGCTAAATTCATCAGGGTGGTCCTGCAAATGCCCAGATGTGT